GAGCGGGAGGGCGCAAACTCGTCGGGAACAGAAATTCTTCTTTTCCCGTTTTCTGAGACAGGGTCTTCCTCTTTCGCCCGGGCGGAAGCGCAGAGGCGGAGTCCTGGCCCCCTGCAGCCTTCACCTGCTGGCCGCCCGGATCCTTCGGCCTCAGCTTCCCGAGGAGCTGGGGCTACAGGGGCACACCACCCGTGCCCGGCTAGTTTCCTTATTTTTTGTAGAGAGGAGATCTTGCGGTGGTGCCCAGGCTGGTCTGGAACTTCTGGGCTCAGATGATTATCCCCCTGGGCAGCCCAAAGTGCTGGGATTACAGACTGAGCCACTGTGTCCAGCCGAAATTCTTTGTGTGTGTGTGTGAGTGTGTGTAGGAGGCTCACTCTGGGGCCCCGGCTGGAGTGCAGGGCACACTCGTGACCACCACAGCCTTGGCCTGCCGGGCTCAGGCAATCCTGCCACCTCAGCCTCCAAGTCGCTGGAGCCATAGGCGTGCGCCACCACACCTGGCTAATGTTTTTGATTTGTTCTAGAGATAAGGTCTCACCAAGCTGCCCAGGCTGGTCCCAAACCCCTGAACTCCGGCAATCCTCTTGCTTCCACCTCCCACAGTGCTGGGATTCCAGGGGTGAGCCACCATGCCTGGCTTCAGCCTAAATTCTTTTTAGTTAGGTTTGCTCACTAGACTTCTGGGCTAAAGATTTACACAATAAGACTCTTTTTTTTTTTTGAGTTGGAGTCTCACTCTGTTGCCCAGACTGGAGTGCAGTGGCCGCTCCCAGCCACCGCAGCCTCGACCTGCTGCCTCCGCCTTCCAAGTAGCTGGAACTACAGGCGCGCACTACCACACCCGGCTCATTTTTGATATGTTGTAGAGATGAGGTCTGGTCAAGTGGCCCAGGCGGGTCTCGAACCCGCGGGCTCAGGCCATCCACTCACCTCAGCCTCCCAAAGGCGCGGGATTACAGGCTGAGCCACCAAGCCTGGCTAAGACTCATTTTAATGAGTTAGCAGGTCATAAAAGACCGAGGGGCAAAAACGATATGCTGCAGAACTTTTTCTCACTTACGGCTTCTCTGTTGTTCTCCTGTGAGGTAGGACAAAGCAGGCCGTGTGTCCAGTCACACACACAAGGCTCTGAGGGTTGGTTCTAAGGGACACTGCCCGTCGTGCATGCTCAGTAAGCTGATTTTTTTCTCTCTGTTCTCCTTTGTCATCCGCACCTACTGATAGACCTCTACACAGAGGCCTCTCCTCGACTTAGGGAAGAAGACATATTACATATTTAATTTGGGGACGGAGTCTAACTATGTTGCCCCAGCTGGTTTCGAATGCCTGTGCTCCAGCGATCCTCCCTCCTCGGCCTCCCGAGTGGCTGGGACTACAGGTGTGAGCCACCACTGTGCCCGGCAGGAAAGAAGACGACACAGGCTTTTCCTCCAGAGACATTGTAAGCAAGAGTGCAGAGTCTGTCCCTCACAGAAACTGACAAAGGACAGAGAAGTCATTTTCCACCCACAGACATTCTTTGCATTGCCGACTCAGAGAAACTTTGAGCTTGGAGGGCCATCTGCATTCACCCAATTTCATCCTTCCATTGTGTGCACAGGGAAACCAGAGTCCCCCAGTCATGCAAGGGGTGGCAGCAAGACAGGGGCCTGAGCTTCTGGCCGCTTACTCCCCAGAAGTGCTCTTCCCGTGGCCTGTGCTGGACTGAGGCCCTGGAGGTCTTGGGCTCATCCCTGCAGGCAGCCGGGCCGCAAGCAGTGGCCGCAGCCCAGCCGGTTCCACACGCCGCGTGGAGCAGCCTGCCTCTGCCAATGCCATGATCACCCCAAGGAGAGCTGGGGAGAGGGTGGAGCGGGAGGGGTACCGCTGGGCCTGCAAGCAAAGCCCGACCCGTTGTCTGATTTCTGACCTATCTCTGCCACTCGCCTCTCAGGGTAGTAGTGCTGGGAAGAGCTTGGAGGCTAGGACGAAGCGGCTTAAACTCTGGAAATTTTTTAGTGGCTTAGAATTCCAGTAAGTGCTGAATCATAGAGTCACGGAATTGGAAAAGATTTGTAAGACAAGAATGGCATGAAGATGGATTGAACACCGCTCATACTATTGGACATATTTGATATTTGATCTCAACCTCAGTCATTCTCAGTGGTAGAGATACTGTGATCTGTTCACAGGAGAAAACTGAGGGTCCGAGTGGTTAAGGAAATTGGCCCAAATCACCTCAACTATTAGTAAACTATGACTTGAACTCAGGTCTGTTTGACTGAGAAAGCCACTGCTTGGAAACATAATCTCATTACTTTTTGTTGCTGCGTCCTGTTTCCTACTGGAAGAAACTCAGTCCATATCCTCTATCTCTGAAAGATTTTGGCCAGGTACGGTGGCTCATGCTTGTAATCCCAGCACTTTGGGAGGCCAAGGCAACAGGATTGGCTGAGTCCAGGGGTTCAAAACCAGCCTGGGCAACTTGGTGAGGCCTCATCTCTACAATAAATAAATTTTTTTTTTGAGTTGGAGTCTTACTCTGTCGCCCAGACTAAAGTGCAGTGGCCTTGACCTGCTAGGCTCCAGCGATCCTTCAGCCTCAGCTTTCCAAGTAGCTAGAACTACAGGCACGCGCTACCACACCCGGCCAATTTTTTTTGATTTACTGTAGAGATGAGGTCTCGCCAAGTTGCCCAGGCGGGTCTTGAACCCGCGGGCTCGGGCAATCCACTTACCTCAGCCTCCCAAAGCGTGGGATTATAGACTGAGCCACTGAACCCGGTTACAATAAATAGATTCTTAAAAATTGACTAGGCATGGCGGTGCATGCCTGTGGCTACTTGGAAGGCTGAGGAGGAAGGATTGCCTGAGCCCAGCAGGTCGAGGCTGTGGTGCTGTGCATATGCCACTGCACTCCAGCCTGGGCAACTGAGTGAGACTCTGACTCAAAAAAAAAAGAAAGTTTTTTTCCTCTATGTTTTCTTCAAAGTCTTTTTCCTTTTTTGGTTGGAGGTCTCACTCTGTTACCCAGACTGAAGTGTGGTGGCATGATCACAGCTCACTGCAGCCTCAGTCTCCTGGGCTCGGATGATTCTCCTGCCTCAGCCTCCTGAGTAACTGGGACTACAGGCACACACCATCCCTCCTAGCTAATTTTTAAATTTTTTGTAGTGACAAAGTCTTGATATGCTGTTGCCTAGGCTAGTCTCAAACTCCTGGGCTCAAGTAATCCTCCTGCCTCAGCCTCCCAAAAAGCTGGGGTTACAGGTGTGAGCCACCATGCCCAGCCTACTTTCTTGAAGTTCTTACAGACAGCAACATTCTACAGCATTTGTGTGTATCTTTCACAACCAATAGAGTGAGCAAGTTCTTCCCAGCATCTGACTTATATTCCCCCAATGCGTTGAGAGCCCCTGGCCCTGCCCTCAGGGAACACGGAAAATGGCTATGACATTCCAGTTAATAGTGGCTTCCTAGTCCTGGTTCCAAAGTGCTTGTGTTAGAAGAATTGCCAGTTTTAAGCACATGCACCCTTGCAAAGCTTTGCCCAACCCAGATACTCTATTCCACTGGCCTTCTCAGGGTGAACCCGAACGTCACGGGGGATCAGGCTTTGCTGTCCAGAATGCAATTAAGGAGGACTACGACTTTTCCTGGGCTGAACTCCAATGGGGTCTCTTTTTCCAAAGTATGTCTAGGACAAGCGTATTATGTAATCAAATAAAGGGCCTATCTGATCTGAGCTGTGTCACAGATGAGAAAGTGAAATTGCTTATGCTGGAAATCTGGGCACCTTTCATGATTCTTTAGATAGAAAAATCTAACTCTTTGCAAAAATTCATGTGCCCACTGTCATAAAGAAGCAGAGCACAGAGCAGTAGGGGAACTCACCTTGTAAAGCAAGGGAATGCTTGTGGACCATGCAAGGAATTTGGAGCTCCTTCCTAGCTGTGCGGTCTTTGACAAAATACTCAACCTCTCTGAGCTTCCATTTTCTTCTCTAGAAAGTGCAAGTAATAGGCCATTGTTTTGTTAAACTCTGGTGTGTCCACGTGGCTCTTTGAGCCATGGTTGTTATGTTTCCTAGCCTTGGCTCCCTCCTCTACCTTAGGGAGGTGAACTGCCTGTCTCTCTCTTACTTTTTGAATAAACCATATTCTCCAATCTAAAAAAAAAGAAACGCAAGCAATAATACATAAGTCATTGGGTTGATGAAAGAAAAAAAAAAAAAAGTGCTCCCTAACATTTTATTTGTTTATTTATTTATTTATGGAGACAGGGTCTTGCTATGTTGCCTGGGCTGGTCTCAAACCTCTGGGCTCAAGCAATCCTCTCGCCTCAACCTCCTAGAGTTCTGTGATCACAGGCATGAGTCACCATGCCCAGCCTCTAACATTTTATTTTTATTTTTTATTTTTATTTTTTTGAGTTGGAGTCTCACTCTGTCGCCCAGACTGGAGTGCAGTGGCCGCTCCCGGCCACGCAGCCTCGACCTGCTGGGCTCCGGCGATCCTTCCACCTCAACCTTCCAAGTAGCTGGAATTACAGGCATGCGCTACCACACCAGC